ATACCATTAAATAAGATCATTTGAAAAAAGGATAATTTTAAATACGTTCCAGGATAAATAAGCTTAATTTTTCTTAGATATGACATCGACAGCAGACGTCCCTCTGAAGCTTGTGAAGGATTCCGTAATACCCGCAGTTTTACGATGATCACAACACTAAAAAGGACTCCACAGTAAACTTATATTTTCCTAGATATGACATCGACAGAAGGCCTTCCTCTGAAGCGTGTGAAGGAGTGAGTAGTACCGCGTTTTACAAAGATCACAACACTCAAAAGGACACCAAAGTAAGCTTATTTTCTCGTACATATTACATCGAAAGAAGGCCTTCTTCTGAAGCGTGTGAAGGAGTGAGTAGTAAGTACCGAGTTTTACGAAGATCACAACACTCAAAAGGACACCAAAATAAGCTTATTTTCTTGTATATATTACATCGAAAGAAGGCGTCCTTCTGAAGCGTGTGAATTTCACAACACTCAAAAGGACACCACAGTAAACTTATTTTCTCTTAGATACGACATCGACAGAAGGCGTCCTTCTGGAGCGTGTGAAGAAGTGCGGAATACCCGGAGTTTTACTAATATCGCAAAACTCAAAAGGACACCACAGTAAACATAGTTTCTCTTAGATATTACATCAACATAAGGTGTCCTTCTGAAGCGTGTGAAGGAGTGCGGAATACCCGCAAGATCACAACACTCAAAAGGACTCCACAGTAAACTTATATTTTGTTAGATATGACATTGACAGAAGGCCTTCTTCTGAAGCGTGTGAAGGAGTGAGTAGTACCGAGTTTTACAAAGATCACAACACTCAAAAGGACACCAAAGTAAGCTTATTTTCTCGTACATATTACATCGACAGAAGGCGCCCTTCTGAAGCGTGTGAATTTCACAACACTCAAAAGGACACCACAGTAAAAATATTTTCTCTTAGATATTACATCGACAGAAAGCGTCCTTCTGAAGCGTGTAAAGCAGTGCGGATTACCCGGAGTTTTACGAATATCACAGCACTCAAAAAGACACCACAGTAAAATTATTTTCTCTTAGATATTACATGGACATAAGGTGTCATTCTGAAGCGTGTGAAGGAGTGCGGATTACCCGGATGATCACAACACTCAAAAGGACATCCTACTGATTTTCTAAGCTTATTTTCTCTTAGATATTACTTTAACCACATAATACTTCCCTCTTTAGCGTGTGAACATGTGCGGTCGGAGTAGCGAGTTTTACAAAGATCGCAATACTCAAAAGGCCACCAAAGTAAACTTATTTTAGAAATTGCAATAAAGACTTTTTTACCCTGTATATTGCATGCGGTATCTGTGGTACTGTACAAGCGCTCTCTTTCA